AGCAGGAACAATGAAGCCTCTGCTATTTATATGTTAGTATAAATACAAAAGTGTAAACGAAAAATTCTTTTTATACTTGCTATGTTTCGTAGAAAATTACGTTACTTAGAATATTTAAAGGCGATTTTAACAGATAATTAATACTGAAAACGATTAGATGTATTGGATATTAGGTAAATTATTGTACAATAGCTTTGAATTGATGAAATTCATTTCATAGTGTTCATGTATATTGACAAAACTCGTATGATGTTGCAAATTATTAGCTGACAGATTAGAATATTACTTAATATATTATGATATTACTTAATATAATACTTATTATAATATTACTCCAATATTATTCTATGTTGATTGTATATCATGTGCGGGTATTGAAGAATACAAAAACAATAATATATCATTCTATAAATAAAATAAAATCTTTCGTTTAAAAGAATTATTAACTTTGAAATTTTTGCAGTCATTTTAACACAAGAGATAACTATGCCAAATAATGTGCTCCTTCATACCACTTTTGTAAGAATAGTTTTTTGGGGGCACGAAGTCCTTGCAAGATATTCTAATGTTTTCATTTAAATGCAACACCCTGTATATTGAGTGACTGGTTACACAGTTTCCTTCCATTTATTTATTTTCTTTTTATACTATAGCTGCAAAACTCTCATGCACACAACCGTGGGTAATTTTCTTCGAATATATAAATATATATAATTTTGCTGATGGGACATTATATTAGTCTTCAGCTGCGTTTTCCAAACGATTTCTTAACAACGTGAAATACGACATTGCGGTAGACATAATCTGTAAAATTTGATAAGCGAATCTTTTCCTTTTTCAAAATAATGAAAATTACAATTTCCTAGTGTACCGGAATTTTCTATTCTCTGAACTATATCTACCTTAGTGTAAGTTTTCAACGATATGGGGAAAAATCCGTTTGCGGTTAGACAACAAACCCGTCTTGATCGCTCGATCACCATTATTAAATCGTTTCGGAGCATTCGTCCAGATTTGTTCATTGGCATGATCGTCCACAAAGCTGAATATGCTCCTTCTGCAACTTCGTCGCTGTGCTCTATCACGCCGTCGCAACCATAGGTGAACATAAACAATAAAGCCATCGAGCCGATTAAAAGAAATATGAAGATGCTGCGTCTCGCTATAGGAGCAGCAACCTGAGAGAAAATTGTTCATTCCGAAATATTGAAAAAAATTTCAATAACGGAAATTCGTGGTAGTGTGTTAATACCAACCAACAGCCCCTGATAAGCAAATAGGCAAATTAACACGCTAAACACCAACACCTGGCCAAATATAATCATCGTGTACACGGTTTCAAGCCTCTTGCAATAGTTGATCAATAGCTGATGATGTCGAATGTACATTTTCAGTTTCTCATAAAATTCGTACGCGTGCTTTGTTAACGTCACTTCGCTTGTCTCATGTTCCAAGTTACACAATTTTGTAAACCTGTATCGAAGTATGCGAAACTGGCCAGCCAAATGTACAACCAGGATGCAGAAAATATTGTCGAAGCAAAAATAGCAAACGGCTACGTAATATAGACATATTACCTGTACCAGGTAGAAATTATTATTCCCTTTGTTACAGTGTATGAAATCTATTGCAAAGTTAGGAAAGATATTTTTATATATATATTTATACAGAGTCGCGAAGAAGAAAACATCTAAATTCATTAAAGACATTTAAATCCGGGACGCTCTGTATGTCGTCATCCAAATCAGGGATTCTATAGATTTATAGAAAGTGGAAGATTCTGAGCTAGTATTTCATTCAATTCTAAAATTTTGCCAAACTTTGTTTCGCGAGTATCTCAATATAATTTCACAGTGGTATTCAAGATGGTAAATGCAAGCATAATGAGAATTTAAAATACCTCGATTACAAATAGTATCTCATAATAAGGAGATAAGTACAGTGGTAAATTTATCCACACATTGGACAGAAATATTCTTTCGGATTGATTTTTTCCAACATTTGCTGCAACAAACATTCGAATGAGTTATTTTAAAAAATATATTTTTAATGTATATAAATGTTTATCAAATCAGTTTGTTGTTTATCAAATTTTCTATTTTCTGACTTAGAGAAATATAAATTAGTATGTATAATTATTAAACTTTACTATAGTAATGTCGAACCAAAATTCTTTTCTTTAAGATTGTTTAAATTTTAAAATGTCCTTAACACATGTATATAAAACAGAAATTTATGGCATTTTATGCTCTATAGCATTTGTACAAGGGCCATCATATACTGTATACACAAAAAAAAAAAAAATAATAAACACTATTAAAAATAGCACATTAATCGTATATGCAAATAGAATATTTTAAGAACCTACCAAGAATCGGTGTTATTACATAAGACAGCATAGCGCATATACCAATACTGGTGACAGAGGAAACGAAAAAGGCACAAGTTCTTTTGCAATTATTCAATATTTCTTTCTCACGGAAATCGTAATCGACATTCCAGAAATTTTGTTGCATGTAAATGATCAGATTTAAAAATTCGCTTTTATGCATCAGTATGATACATATCTTGAGTAAACTCATTACCACGGTTAACAAGTTAGTAATGACATAAAGAATATCCTGCAATACGTATTGTTTAAATAAATATAGTCACATATATACCACATGAACAGCTTAATTATCATATATTAATAATTGAAATTAGACAAATTATTACCTAGCACGAGCAATTTAGATTATTGCACGTATGTGCAATGTATTTGTATTTTAAACTTTTAATTTATTAAATATACACGAAGGATGGAAATGTAGAAATGATTTCTATACTCAAATGTATGTATCTCTTTTCTAGATATTCTTTTCTATAGATAATTTAATAATAACGTTTAGTAGCAATGATTTGATAACGATGTTCAACATGCTGAACCTGTCAAGTTAGTACTCTTTCGTTTCTTTCGTACATCTCGAAAATACATCATACAGTGGTGTTATTTATTAGTAATTATCAGACAGTAAATTTTTATTGAAAGTAGAAAAATGGAGGACCAAGTAGAAATTCATTTCCATTAGTATTACAACAAATACTTCACTTTTGTTACTTTGTTACTTTGTATATTTTTATGTTGAAATTTTTGGATTCATTTATATTTCTGTATCTTTAAATTTCCCACGATAGCGTAAAAACATGCAGCATAATAACAAAAGATTCGAAATCCATCATTTAGTTATTTTCCGAAATCAGTTTGTCAACGCGTGATACCATCGGTTCTTTAGAACACCCTAATATTGGTATTTGTTTCGTTTTTGGAAACGCGATAAATATTTAGAACATTATACTCAGTTAACGCGTACGGAACTTCATTTAAAATATATTATTCAATTGAGCAATACTCACGCCTTTGTACAATAAAGTGAAATACAAGTCTCTGATATTGAGGACTGAGCCGATCATCGAATTCCATGTTGTGAAGACGAGCATTAATTTCATCCAACGCTTTTTCGCCGAATCCTCGGCTATCCATAGGCCAATATTCTTCAAAAAGAACATCGACAGATTAATCGATATGTCCGTATGCCGTTCCGTTTGCATGGCGAGTCAGCATCTAAAACTGTCGCGCGCATTCTGATGTATATGAATCGTCACATACAATGAAACAGACGTTGTCACTTTCGAAACTTATCGATTCTTCTCCTCTATCATCATAAAA